CATTATTTCAATTATTGAAATGTGTTTGGAGGAACACTTCTATCACTTGCTACAGGTGTTTGGAGTTCTTTAGAAATACCAGTTATATGTCCATTTGAAGTTTCACTTTCTTACATCACAAACATGCTTCCTTTAATGCATTATTTTGGCTCTCAGCATCAAGATTATATCATCGAAGATCAAGACTACTATTGCTTTGCCCAAACTCTAGTCATTTACGTAGGTATGATAGCTTCATGAACTAGTTATATCTAAAACTTAATTCCTATAGCAGCAATCTTGGTGAATTGCAAACTAATTTCCCTTATTTTATTCTATCCATATCAACCAGGTATTCGATGTGAACGGTGATGACTCTATTATAGGAAATAGAGTTGCACTAGTTAAAATGGACACCTCATTTCCTTCTTCACCGAGAAATTGAATTAGTCCATGAAAAAAATTTAAATTTATGAATGATTTCTATGCAATACTGAGAGCCCTTAGTAATAGAAGTCATTAATTGCTGGTAAAAAAGTAACTTTATGAATCGATTATTAAGTTTCTAAATAATCAGAGAGAGCTAAAGAGGAAGCATGCCTCAAAAGTAAAATTATTATCTTCGTTATATTTTATGTTTAAACATAAAGGTAGTGAGTTAGAATAAAGTATTCGTTGCATTGAACCATTATCACTTATTTTTTAGTATCATATAGTCAAAGGTTATTGGATTTATGGTTTTTAAGGATACATATGCCAAGAAATCAGAATACTATTGCTTTGCCCAAACTCTAGTCATTTACGTAGGTATGCTAGCTTCATGAACTAGTTTAATCTAACTTAATTTTTATAGCAGCAATCTCGGTGAATTGCAAACTAATTTCCCTTATTTTATTCTATCCACATCAACCTGGTATTCGATGTAAATTGTGATGACTCTAATATAGGACATGGAGCTGCACTAGTTAAAATGAACATCTCATTTTCTTCTTCACCAAGAAATTGAATTAGTCAATGAAATTTTTTTTTATTTATGAATGAATTCTGTGCAATACTAAGAGCCCTTAGTAATAGAAGTCATTAATTGCTGGTAAAAAAGTTAACTTTTTGAATCGATTATGAAGCCTTAAGTTTCAAAATAATTGGAGAGAGCTAAATAGGAAGCATGTCTCAAAAGTGGAATTGTTATCTTCGTTATACTTTATGTTTAAACATAAAGGTAGTGAGTTAGAATAAAGTAGTCGTTGCATTAAACCATCATCACTTATTGTTTAGTATCATGGATTTAAGGTTTTAAAGGATACATATGCCATTGATGAGGATAGAAGACACTTAAAACAACCACCGTCGTTGATGGTCATGTTTTTTTGTATGAGAGCAACCATTTATGCTCATACCTCACGTCGAATGTGCTTCTTTAATGTTTTATCTCCCAAAATAAAAATTGTTCATTAAGTATTCCCCAATCATATTCTATCTGGAAGTTTTGATCCTTAAACATCTTTTCGAAATGCTACAATAGTGTCAAAGAAACTTTGTATTAATGCCTGCATGAAGACTAAACAATTTATTTATTGATGTTCAAAATAAATGTTGGCAGGTAGACCCATTTCTTCCCTCCCAAAACTTCACACTCTTATTTTTGAGCTATGTTATCTTTGCAAAAATTTTAAAATTAACATAAATCTCCCATTTGAAGGATTGGCCTCACAAACTATTAATAATAAAAATGCACGACCATAAAAAAAGTAGTGTCTATTATAATAATGATTTATTTTCCATTAGTTGCTCTCACATACATATCACTTTTCTTAATTTTATTCTAGGACTTCTAAATAAGTTCAAGTTTTATAAGATTCAGCGTTGTAATCCATTAATCATTTGGAAACCTATTCTTAATAAAAATGAAATAATTGTTATACTATTTCTGGCGTTTAAAGTTACATGCTAAGCTTATGTTGACAGAGGGAAAATTTTATTATCATAGCTAAGACCCATGATTTACATATAATCAATAAAGCAAAATGACATGGGCAAGGGATAAAATTATTTTCACATGTAAAATCAAAAAAAGAAAAATCATTGAAATTCTAGTTTTGATTCATAGTTCGTGCAATATAAGAAAATCTTATGATCCCATGAACTTACCAATTACTTATTATAGTAATGCATTCACTAATAGGTGCATAATGTGCTTTGTTTAACTTTGAAAGTCTGGTTTTCATTTGAAAAAAATCTAAACTGCTAGATTGCACCCCACAAAAAAATCTTGCTTTAACATTTTTTTTTTTGGAAAAAAAAACCATTTATTTATGTTTGTAAACAAAATTACAAAGAACTTAACATCTCAATGATCTTCTCAACTTCATTAATCAAAAGTACCTTGATATTTTTTAATGACTATTTGCTGCATCTCTGTTCTCTTCATGTAATGCAATGTGGCACCATTTAAGTTTCACACCATTGAAAGTCTTAAGGATAAAATGTCATATTGGTCGAAAGTGGAAAGAAATTAATTAGTGAAGGTTTGATATTGCATGCTATATCTACCTTGAATGCCCTAGAAATCAAATGAACACACTGCCCTTCTCTTTAATGTTTTATCCAATAATTAAAAGATAAAAGAAATCACCATCCCTCAATTCTATAGAATGCATATCTACAAAAGATAGACTAAATTTATGTCCACCAGCACAATGAATTTATTTGTAATTGTGAACTCCAAAAGATGTTTCTAGTTCATGCAAATTGGTTATGACTATTTTTGGAAGGTAAATTTAGCATTGCATTCACAATAGAAGTATTATGTACTTTGTTTTGACTGTGACAGCCTGGTTTCCTTTTTCAATTAAGAATTTAAACTGTTACATTGTACCCTCAACAAAATCTTGCTTTACTTTTTCTTTTTTATTATTTAGATTGTATTACAAAAACTTAACATTTCACATGATCTTCTTAACTTCATTAATCAAAATAACATTGATATCTTCTAATGACTATTTGCATGCATCATCCATTCTCTTAATGTAATGTAATGTGGCACCAATTGAATTTCACTCCATTAAAGCCTTGAGGAGAAAATGCCATTTTGGTTGAAAGCGAAAAGAGATTCATTAGCAAAAGGTTTGTTGCATGCTATACCTACCTTGAAGCCCCTGGAATCAAATAAACACACCCTTTTGTTGAATGTTAAGATATAAGAAATCATTTTTGAACTCCAAAAGATGTTCCTAGTTCATGTAATTTGGTTATGAATACTTTTCGAAAGGTGAATTGAGAAAAAGATGAGCACCCCCTAAAGATTGCACTCATTCATGCTATATCTCTATCTTGAATAACCTAGAAATAAAATAAACACACCCTTCTGTCAAATGCTACATCCAATATTTAAAAGATATAAGAAATCACTATCCTTAAATTTTTGTTAAATACATATCTACTAAAGAGAAACTAGATTTTTGTCTAACAACTCAATGAGTTTATTTATGTTTGTGAACTCCAAAAGATGCTTGTAGTTCAGGCAAATTGTTTATGAGTACTTTTTGAAACGTGAATTTAGAAAAAGATGAGCACTACCCAAATATTTCACTCATTCATGGCTTCTTTTTTCTAGTTGCGGGATTTCTACAAAGAAATCACCATTATTAGTAAACTTGCCCAATATAAGGAAAAAATAATTCTTGATTATTTATGTCATGAGGTTCAAAGCTGAGTTTACTTTATGAGCATTCCCCAAAGATTTCCCTTAATCATGGCTCCATATTTCTAGTTTCAGGATTTCTATAAGGAAATAACCATTTTGTTAGTTAATTTACAAAAAATTTGGAAATTTTTTTTTGAATTTATATGTCATGGTGTTCGAGTTTATGTTTAATTTATGGATGCATGGTTTCTCATATTGAGATTTAACCTACTACATTAAGAGTAAATTAGATTATTACTCACATTCTCATAAGAGATACAAAACAGGCCCCTAATAATATAGTTATAAGTCACATTTCAAGGTCTTTAATATGAAAATTCTTGTTAACAACAATGTATGGACCCAATTGTAGAAAATATATGAATAAGGCTATTTTGTCTTTAACTTCATGAAATAATAGGGGCTTTATGTCCTATAAAAAATGTAAATGTCTCACAAACTTTTAGAAAATGGTATTAAAGAATATAAGAGTTTGATACTCATTAGCCATGATTTGATGTCATTATATTAAGAAATATATTTATTATTAGGGTGCCTCTCCGCTTCTTGATTTATCATGTTATGATATAGCAATGACAAATGGTGAACCAACATTTCATTTAAAAGGTAAAATTATTCTTTAAAGATAGGCTTACAACCTCAATTTGTGATATGGGTATTCCTGGGTTTATATTGGTATCGTCATTCAGTAAATGTATTCAGTAGCTTAAAAAATGAATATAATTGCAATTGTTATTCACAGTTAACAATATAGTTTTTATTTCATATTTACTTCAAGGACAATGTAGAAAGATTACGGCAATGATTGTATATGGCTAGTCCGTGTAAGTTGAAAATATGATCACACTTAGTAAACAAAGTTATAGCATAACGAATGCCAAAAATAACAACTAAAAATATTTATTTTTTAATTATCAATTATTAGTTTAATTTTAGATAAGGATAAACCATGTTCACCGCCTTATGAATATTGCAAAGACACAAAAATAATGTAGCGTAAAAAAATAAGCAAATGGCAAGTGGTGTCCATAACAGAATGATTCAAGCACTTTCAAATTGGTTTATCTTCCTTGTATGAATCTCATTAGCCATGAAAACTTTAGCCTTTTTTAAACTATGAAGTTTTGGCTTACATACCTTTTTTATAGTTTTAGAGCTAGAAGAAACAGATTTATCAGACAATAGATAAGCAAATGGCAAGTGGTGTCCATAACAGAATGATTCAAGCACTTTCAAATTGGTTTATCTTCCTTGTATGAATCTCATTAGCCATGAAAACTTTAGCCTTTTTTAAACTATGAAGTTTTGGCTTACATACCTTTTTTATAGTTTTAGAGCTAGAAGAAACAGATCTATCAGACAATAGTATGTTTTCCCCAGCACTTGAAGATTTGAAGCAACTGACACATACATACGAAATACATCTCATGATTAAATTTCAATTTTTGGTTTGCAAACCAAGCTATTAAAAAAGAACAAACCTCAAAAATTTGAACAAGAATAACGGACCTGATTGAAAGCGGGCAAAAGATAGCATGCGCTTTTCTTCTTGTTGAAGATGTTTTGTATAATGGTGTCTGAGTCCTGAACAACCATTGAAACTACTTTTAGCTTTTGGACTACAACAAAGGACAACCAGTCCACAACAACATATAAGAGCTAAACTTCTTATGATCTACTTGAAACTTGAAGATTTGAAGCAACTGACACATACATACGAAATACATCTCATGATTAAATTTCAATTTTTGGTTTGCAAACCAAGCTATTAAAAAAGAACAAACCTCAAAAATTTGAACAAGAATAACGGACCTGATTGAAAGCGGGCAAAAGATAGCATGCGCTTTTCTTCTTGTTGAAGATGTTTTGTATAATGGTGTCTGAGTCCTGAACAACCATTGAAACTACTTTTAGCTTTTGGACTACAACAAAGGACAACCAGTCCACAACAACATATAAGAGCTAAACTTCTTATGATCTACTTGAAAATTTGAAGCAACTGACACATACATACGAAATACATCTCATGATTAAATTTCAATTTTTGGTTTGCAAACCAAGCTATTAAAAAAGAACAAACCTCAAAAATTTGAACAAGAACAACGGACCTGATTGAAAGCGGGCAAAAGATAGCATGCGCTTTTCTTCTTGTTGAAGATGGTTTGTATGATGGTGTCTGAGTCCTGAACAACAATTGAAAGTGACTACTTTTAGCTTTTGGACTACAACAAAGGACAACCAATCCACAACAACATATAAGAGCTAAACTTTTTATGATCTACTTGAAAAGAAAAAAGATAGGTATTTAAAAAATATTCCCATTATAATGATATATTTTAAGCTACATTATGAACAATGTTATAGAGAAAGTACCCTCTACATTCTAGCTGTGTGGTCAAAAAAGTATGTTTTGGTTCAGTTTTGTATGCCTGCAATGCAACATTTAGAGCCTGATTAGAATCATAAAGGAGGAAAACATTTTGACGATCTACACTAATGCAAAATATATTTAAGCACCTTTGATGGAGTTTTGATGTGACTGTGATAGAATTGTGATGATCTTGAGGAAGTGCAAGCAACATTTAAATCCACAACCTTCCTGTAAAATGATAGAAATTTTATTTGCTAAAAATTGTTTTTGTCCTCTCCAAGTAGAATTAGAAACAACTGACATATGTGGTGATCCTAAAGCTTTTTCTCTTCTATCATTTGATCTTAAGCAGACCGCCATGTGACTTTCAGTTGGTTTGTTTTCTTTTGACAAGGATTTGTGAATCTTAGATGCACAAGATGATGATATCCGTTGTTCTTCCTGAACATCGTTTGATTTTATGATATTTGTTGCAGATATATTCTTATTTGGGTTCTCATTCTGGTGACTCAAACAAGAAACCACCTTCAAAAGCCACAAAAACGATAAAATAGAGAATATGATAATTGCCCAAAATGAGCAACAATGAATAACAGAAAAACAACCTTCATTGCTTTTTTGTCTTGCTTCATGCAATCATTATCATAGGCGATGGCCTTATTCTCGTTGTTTTCAACTCTATTTGATGGGTTAATTTGCAAAGAATGCTTTTCATGACATCCAATCCCCATTGTTGGACCACTGTTGTTATCATCAATCTTTTCCAACCTATGATTCTCACCAAATTTATATGAAGCTTTCGAACATCTCTGATTTTTTTGCTCTTCACCTTCAGCTTTCTTGCATGCAGATTCATGTAGTTCTGGTTCCACATTTTCAGTTTCAATGAATGAAAAACCAAGGTTTGTACTATCATTTATTGGCTTCAGCTGTGCAGCCAACTTTAGAGCAGCAGATTTTCTGTAGTGTGCTTCGAAGAGAGCTTTCTTTTGAGCAACTGATCCCGGAACTGAACAGTTCTTGGCCTCTTCCAAGTGTTTATTGTGATTAAAGGTTGACCATTTTTCCCAGTCCAAAGATTCTGAGAAGAACCTACCAAAAGAAATTGATTCCCTCAATGTAGCAGCAAGGTCTACCTGTAAATTGAAAGTTTCTTTACACTATCCATCCAATAACCCAAATAACGAGTTTGCCCGAATAGTTTTTTTGAAAGTTCAAACACTTGTAACTAAACCGTTTTTATTCGAATCAGAGAGGAATTTAACAAATAGAAGAGAAAAATTAGACGACTAAGCAAACAAAAATACATTCTACAAGAGAAGAATCATAAGTTAGGCACCATGGATAAGGATAATGAATTGTCCCAATGTTTCCTTCAGATTAAGAGCTAACTGAAGCTTAACAGAAATTTGAGCAATGAATCAACTACAAGCCACAAAATAGAAGAAGGAAAAGCCATTGCAGAAGATGATGATAAAGGTAAAAAACCTTGCTGTTCCTCTTGTAGTCGTCCGAGGGTTGAGAGAAAGCTCCCATCTCCATCCGTGGAAAGCTTTAACTTAGCTCAACGGCTACCACTGTAAACCTCGATCTCACCCTTTCCCTTCAACTTCAATTCAAAATCCCTAGTCCATTTATGTTTAACCTTGTTTTCCCTTTAATCAAACGAGTACGGCTTGGTGAATGGGTCCCATACTCGCAACGTTCAAAATCCCAACGGATATTAAACAATAACGCCGGAAGCATCAAGGACTGAGATCGTCCGTTATTAATGTGGGTCCCAGTGGGCCAAAGCCTATAAATTCTAACTAAACGGGTAGACGGGGGGTCGATCAAAAACTTCGACAAATGAAAAAATTAATTTTTTTAAAATTAAATATTTGATTTGTCTCATAATATAGCCCAATAACTTCATTATATATTTAATTCATAAAGATTATGGCTATAATTTTTTTTTTTAAAATCAATGCTGAGTTCCAGCAAACTACAGTGTTTGTATTTGATTGATTGGTTAAAGTGAGCAAGCAATATGAGCTCAATTTTTAAATTAATTTTATAAAAACAAATATTTGTTCATAACTTACTAATATATATATCTTTGGCAATGATGGGAATGCTACTGTTGTTGAGCAGCCTCAATCTATAGATGATGAGCAGGGCATTAATGTTGATTTGCAAAATACAATGCTGAACAATCCTTTGCTTAATGATGAAAAAAATATTGTTCCTGCCAATTTAAATGTTACTAATGGGGGGAATTTGGGATTTCCGGTGATGTTGGGCAAGATAATCTAAATACTAATGGGGGTGTTTTACCTGACCATGGGGATGTTATGCACCCTACCATTGAGAATTTTATCCCAGATTCTCTTTTACATATTTCAGATATATCTCAATTAAATTCTAATGTTGTAGAGCTCCCTGCTTCGACTAAGATTGGAGCAGGGCCTTTGAGGTTGGCCCCATCCTCAACAACAAAAGGGGAGGTAGGTGAGGTACAGCCTTCCGCTAGGCATGTGCTACAGGAGAAGGGAAGGTTTGTGGCTGGTAATGTTTTACATAATCATGATGAGGAAGCAACCAAAGCATTAGAAAATGAGCGGCAAATCCAAAAACCTCAAAAAAGGAAGAACAAAAGGAATAATGAGATGCTTAGTCTAAATGTTGCAAACATTCTACCTGAGGGAAATTATTATTCTGATTGAGAACAAGTTAGAAGGCATGGTGTTTACCCTAGCACGCCTCCTAGATCTACTAGGAGGGCAGGCTTAATACAACATGATTAATATCCTTATTTGGAATATTAAGGCAATCTCTAACCCTGCTTCCCTTAATAGATTGAAGCATTTGAGCAGGGTTCATAAAATTTACATTTTGCGATTTTAGAGCTTTTGTTTTCTGTGCATTGATGCACCCCTAGTGTGTGTGTTTTTTTTCTGTGTGTTTTATGTCAATTTAATTCCGCTGAGACGACGTCAAAAACTAGATTGATCAATCGAACAAAAATACCCGAAGTTACGCAGTAATTTAGCTTTAAAAAATGTGGCCAAAAACTTGACCCAATTTATATTAAGTATTTAATGTGCAAAATGGTGCAAAATTGAAATGTTATAAAATATAGCAAATAGTTCACACACTATGGGTTCTACGTAAGTCCATGTATCGCTTCAAGTAATATAGAGCTTTTCTTAAAAACCCCTGTATCGATCCCATGAAAAAGCGAGGTAAGAGGTCCTTGGTCAAATTCTAGTCTACTACTATTAGTCCTATGTCTACTAAAAGGGTGTTTTATCTAGCAACTACTCCTAAATGTGAATGTTAAATGTAAGGATTAAATTTAAAATAATTAATAATTATTCCTAAATGAAAATATTAATTCTAAATATAACACTTTTTTGATGAATTGGTTTGGAGAATTTTGAGATGTTAAAAACAGCTATTCTTATATAGTGAATTGGATAACACAAAGGAATGAGATACATTTAACATTGTATGTGTCAAATAGGAGTAATTTTAATTCTCCACCCTCAATCAAGTGTTATAGAGAATCGTTGGCTAATATTAGGTTTAGTCTCTAAATCTGTGGTTATGATAGGAGGATACTGGCTCTCACTCCAAAGCTCCCACTTCCCTTCCTCTGATAGCTAACTCTCGTTTTAGTTCTTAAACACTAACACCAAATTGGGGAATTTAGTCTGTCACTTTAGAATCTCCAATTATTCGCCCAGTAATATATATATATATATATATATATATATCCCTATTAATTTACACTCAACTCCCATGAACTTCACCATCCATGGAATTTGAATGTGGTTCCACTTTGTTGAGAATTACACCACCCTCTCGGGTCTTATTGCAATTACAATGAATTTTAACACTACAACGGACCCTTATTGTAATGTAAAGGAAGTGCAATTAAAAACCATGACATTTATAATCAAAACTTCTTCTAGCATGCATCCCAATATCCTTAACATAAATCCTACTCATTACAAAAGAAAAGTTAAAAAAAAAACAATGGCATAATCTTCTCATGCCACTATTTTCTAATAAAAAGAAAGAGTAAGAAAGATACATCACAAAGCACAAAGAAAACACAACAGAAAATTTCTATTCATCAAAGCAATCTATTAGATAAGTGTTTACAAAATCAGATAATGAAGAACATAATACTTAGCTTTTCTACTTGAAAGAAAGATAAAAATCTCTCCCACAAAGTCTCCTGCTGATCCATGCAATGCTAATACATCTCCTTACAAATTCTCTCAAAATTGCATCTTCAATCTCTCCAAAAATGTAGAAATCTACATTTCTGCTCCTATTCTAAGATCTATAAACATTCTCCACATTTTTTTACTCGCACACACCGTTTTTTGATATAAAGTTACTCTATTAGAGTGTAGGCACGAATTTCCCAAGACATACCTCAAGCAACCTTCCAAAAAACGTTCAAATACATTAAATCTAGGCCATAACTGCCCAAAATCACGTCCAAGCTGTCTTGGGTGCCATCAGTGCCGTTTTGGGCACCATCGGCGCCGTTTTGGGTGCCATCAGCTCCATATTTTTTTCATTCTCTAGATTCGGGCGTCGTCGGCGCCGGTTTGGGTACCTTCTAAAACGGTCTGCAATAGCTCGACTGTTTTTCTCTATTTTGCCCCGTTTCAGTTGTGTTTCGTTCTTAACAGATAGAACTACAAAATAAATGTGAAAATAACATTTCTATAAAGTGTAATTTCATTCAAAAATGTGTGAGAAGTGTAAATGAGATTATGCATAGAAAGACATATCGAAATGTGTCAGACTAGAATTTTCTTTCTTGCTCGTTTTAGCTCAAAATTGCAACGTTTTTCCTTCTTTTTCACCAAAGTCCATTTTTTGTACCTGAAGTCAAAAAAATGAAAAATATCTTTCTTTAAAGTGCAATATCACAAAAAATGAGTATAAAATATAAGTCAAACAAAGCATATATTTTTAGTGCATCAAACTTCCTCAAACTTCCTCAAACTTAAATGTTACTTGTCCTCAAGTGACACTTTTACTACATAAAAATATGACTTATGGTACAGTGTTTAACTTCTAAATTTCTATAATTTGGTTTACTAAATATAATAGCACAACTTAAGAAAAAATTTTAACAACTTAAGTTAATACTAAAAGTGTAAGAATACTTAGTAGTCAATTCTAAGATTTCTGATTCTCTATTCATTTCAAGAAGAATTGCAATTTATCATATTAAAGTTACTTAGAATATTCATATGAAAAAGAACTTCATGAGATCTTTATTATTAAGGATGTTAATACTCAAATACAAGTTTAGAGAATGTAATAAAGTCTTCTTCCTTATCTTTAAGTTGATTCAAGTAAAGCCAATTTTTAATTAGGCATCTCGTGAAACTTCTCCTCACATCATTTTCTTTTCTTTTCTTTTTCTTTTTCTTTTCTTTTCTTTTTCTTTTTCTTTTCTTTTCTTTTGCTTTTAGCTTTTCTTTTTCTTTTCTTTCAGGATCATTTTCAATCTTTTCTTTTTTTTCATTTTCATGTGAGGATTACTATATATGGATTGCCTTTAATGGCCTTTAATGATTTTGAACTTCTGCCTTTAATGATTTTGAACTTCTCTATCCTCTTTTTAAAGTTAAAAACTTTTCACATTCCTTCATAAATTCATATTAGCTCAGCTCTGAAGATTTTTCATAAATTCTCATTCTTTTCTTCTTACATGAAACTATAAGCTTCTTAATACTTCAAAAATATAATTCCCTTTACTTTAAATAGAAAAAGCATAGTCTTATCATTTCGTACCAAACATCTTTAACTCTAGAATTAACTTTCATTATTGAAAACTTTTACTTAAGTCTACTATATATTTAGAAATACAAATATAATTATCTAAAGTTGGCCTCTAATACTGAATGTCATGTCAAATTAAATTCTGAAAATATAGTTAATTGAGGACAAATAAAATTTATTTTCTTTCTTTTAAAAGAAAATTTTCTTCCCCCTAAACTTGAATTTTAAAATATTTTGCAATTAACTCCATAAAATGTAGCAAGAAGAAAAAGTAAAATTTGAATCTACTTACTACTACAACATCCTATCAAATTTATATACATTCATAATTAGGATAGAATGACTATATGAGAAAGTAAATCTAGCCTAAAACATGCTTGCAATAATATTAAACTAAAAAGGAAGTATACTCACTTTAAAATTTTATTTTTCTTCCTACCCCTAAACATGATTTTTAGCATGTATAGCATTTAGTACAGAAGATATAAGTAGGAAGAAAAACAGTTTATAATTTCTTTCTACCAAAAATGTCTATAAAAAAACATCTACAATTATTTATCAGGATAGAAAAGATTTAGTAGAGAGTAAATCTAAACTAAACATGCTTGATAAAATTGAAAGAAAGGTCTAACAAGCAGGATAAGTATCGTCATAGGAATATATATATTTATGTGTTATCGAAATCTGTATATTATTGTAACCCAAACACAAACACACATGATAAATGAGGTCAATTCTTCCTTTAACTCATCACATCTCACTAACTTACTTCCAATTTCTAAAGGAATCACTACACAGATATATTGGGTACTTA